TGTCCTGTGCACACAGATGAAAATGGATGGAAGTCATCCAGTAGGAGAAGAAAGTGACAGCGATGTTGTTGATAGTGACAACAGTGAAAGTGAATCGTGTTTTGATGACCTTTCTTCGGGCGAGGAAGTTTTTGGTGAAAGAATGATTCGAATGCCAGCGCCATGTGACAGATGCTCACGGCTAATATGCAAAGATGAGTGAGATGTTTTGTTGTTTATTGCTTTTATTTTTGGATAGAAAGTGTTGGACCAGAAATTTAAGCTCGATTATCCCTGAAGAATGCGTACAGCTAGTATTATGAGGTCTTTTTCTTTCTTGAATGGTGCTGTCAGTCTTTTATGATACATTCATCTGGCGTATTCGCCATTTTGAGCAATTTTTGGCAGATCTCGGTTAAAGAGTCCATAAAAAATGGCATTTTTTGGTAAGAATAAGAAATTCTCAGAACTCAGTTATCAATTTTTGCAACTTGAGAATACTTTTTGAAATAGTGTATTGTGCTTTGAGCACCATTCCAATCATTTTGAGAAAAATTACATCAAAGTCAAAATTACTGTCCTTAATTAGCATAATTGCATATATTTCATCACATTAAATTGTTGCCATGGACACGAATGAATTATATTCTTCTGTTTATATTTAACAATTATTCGCCTCAGGTTCGGTGAATATTGTCGAATAATCCCCTCGACTTTGTCTCGGGGATTATTCGACAATATTCACCGAACCTGAGGCGAATAATTGTTAAATATAAACAGAAGAATATAATTCATTCGTGTCCATGGCAACAATTTAATGTGATGAAATATATGCAATTATGCTAATTAAGGACAGTAATTTTGACTTTGATGTAATTTTTCTCAAAATGATTGGAATGGTGCTCAAAGCACAATACACTATTTCAAAAAGTATTCTCAAGTTGCAAAAATTGATAACTGAGTTCTGAGAATTTCTTATTCTTACCAAAAAATGCCATTTTTTATGGACTCTTTAACCGAGATCTGCCAAAAATTGCTCAAAATGGCGAATACGCCAGATGAATGTATCATAAAAGACTGACAGCACCATTCAAGAAAGAAAAAGACCTCATAATACTAGCTGTACGCATTCTTCAGGGATAATCGAGCTTAAATTTCTGGTCCAACACTTTCTATCCAAAAATAAAAGCAATAAACAACAAAACATCTCACTCATCTTTGCATATTAGCCGTGAGCATCTGTCACATGGCGCTGGCATTCGAATCATTCTTTCACCAAAAACTTCCTCGCCCGAAGAAAGGTCATCAAAACACGATTCACTTTCACTGTTGTCACTATCAACAACATCGCTGTCACTTTCTTCTCCTACTGGATGACTTCCATCCATGAAAGTTAACTCTAAAGATTGAACAAGATGCGACCGATATTGCTTGCCATGATCTAGGAGTGTGTTTCTTGAATGTAAACAAACTGACTTGTGGAGAAAACGAAATTAATTTCGACCAATATTCTCGACTAACAGAATGGCCGACTTCTTGCACAGGGGGCCCAGACAAGCGACGAGTCTGGTTGTTTATTCGAAATATAAAGGAATGTATGGGAGAATATTGAAGAGTCTTATTATCGTAAACTTATATCATGACATGTCTGAGTTAAAGCTCAAAATAAATGTAAACCTACCTCACTTGCTTTGTATTGTCGTTTCTGTGGCTCTAAATGGCGAATTTGAGCGATTTAGTGGGTTTTGTGTCGACTGTTACTATACGTTATAAGAAGGAGAGTCTCCTTAGTCTTGTTTGACGCATCGGTGTTTTCGCTCGCATTGTTATTTCACTGTTCCGCTTGGAGACACACGGTTAAACAATAATCACGTGCAAGGAGTTAAGATGTAACTTATTAACTATTACTATATTTATCATCCAATTACAGGTCGGAGCCATTCCTGTAATTAGTCGCCAGTCACATTCGACATATCCGCCATCTTTGAAATCGTGGAAAAAAGGTTGCGCGTTTATTATTACGTGTCTGCGGTATTCCCCATTGCATGTGACGGAGTTTTGTGCAGAAACCCGATAGTCTGTCGCCCGACTAAATAGTAGACCGTAATCAAACCACAACCACCTCACTCCCTATGTACTCTTGATTTTCGCTTAAATAAACTTCCTTCATGCCCTATATCTTATGATTATGTCACTCCCGAGACTACCCCAAATTTCGCACAGACCTTTCTTTCAATTACCAGAAAATTCCCTGTAAGCAGAGGCCTCACTTCTTTATATTTAGCGTACGCGGAAAGAGACCTAAAGGCGAAACCAGAAAATAAAAGCAGTCTGAAAACGCCAAGTTAGCCTCCAATACCACCTCAAAGAACAGGAAACATTTCTAGTTGCTTTTAATTTTAGAGTAAAAATTTCGTTGTAAGTTTAAACAAAAAACAAATTTTTCCCGGCAAAGGAGAACTGAAACGGACAAACTCGTTCCAAACGAATTTTAATTCATTCGCTCTGACGAGCGGTTAACGCTCGAAACGTCAGCTTTTTCACTCTTTACCGTGGCCAATTTATAATTTCAACTTAGTTGATGCAAAGACTAGCAAAAACTAACGATAAAAACCGACGTTTCCGTGTCATCATGACGCCATTGTCAAGGAGAAATAAAAATAAAGTTTGTGGCAAGGTTGTTTAATTAGCTCGTAACATATTTATGCTAATTTAGTGTTACACCTTGCCACAAACTTTATTTTTATTTCTCCTTGACAATGGCGTCATGATGACACGGAAACGTCGGTTTTTATCGTTAGTTTTTGCTAGTCTTTGCATCAACTAAGTTGAAATTATAAATTGGCCACGGTAAAGAGTGAAAAAGCTGACGTTTCGAGCGTTAACCGCTCGTCAGAGCGAATGAATTAAAATTCGTTTGGAACGAGTTTGTCCGTTTCAGTTCTCCTTTGCCGGGAAAAATTTGTTTTTTGTTTAAACTTACAACGAAATTTTTACTCTAAAATTAAAAGCAACTAGAAATGTTTCCTGTTCTTTGAGGTGGTATTGGAGGCTAACTTGGCGTTTTCAGACTGCTTTTATTTTCTGGTTTCGCCTTTAGGTCTCTTTCCGCGTACGCTAAATATAAAGAAGTGAGGCCTCTGCTTACAGGGAATTTTCTGGTAATTGAAAGAAAGGTCTGTGCGAAATTTGGGGTAGTCTCGGGAGTGACATAATCATAAGATATAGGGCATGAAGGAAGTTTATTTAAGCGAAAATCAAGAGTACATAGGGAGTGAGGTGGTTGTGGTTTGATTACGGTCTACTATTTAGTCGGGCGACAGACTATCGGGTTTCTGCACAAAACTCCGTCACATGCAATGGGGAATACCGCAGACACGTAATAATAAACGCGCAACCTTTTTTCCACGATTTCAAAGATGGCGGATATGTCGAATGTGACTGGCGACTAATTACAGGAATGGCTCCGACCTGTAATTGGATGATAAATATAGTAATAGTTAATAAGTTACATCTTAACTCCTTGCACGTGATTATTGTTTAACCGTGTGTCTCCAAGCGGAACAGTGAAATAACAATGCGAGCGAAAACACCGATGCGTCAAACAAGACTAAGGAGACTCTCCTTCTTATAACGTATAGTAACAGTCGACACAAAACCCACTAAATCGCTCAAATTCGCCATTTAGAGCCACAGAAACGACAATACAAAGCAAGTGAGGTAGGTTTACATTTATTTTGAGCTTTAACTCAGACATGTCATGATATAAGTTTACGATAATAAGACTCTTCAATATTCTCCCATACATTCCTTTATATTTCGAATAAACAACCAGACTCGTCGCTTGTCTGGGCCCCCTGTGCAAGAAGTCGGCCATTCTGTTAGTCGAGAATATTGGTCGAAATTAATTTCGTTTTCTCCACAAGTCAGTTTGTTTACATTCAAGAAACACACTCCTAGATCATGGCAAGCAATATCGGTCGCATCTTGTTCAATCTTTAGAGTTAACTTTCATGGATGGAAGTCATCCAGTAGGAGAAGAAAGTGACAGCGATGTTGTTGATAGTGACAACAGTGAAAGTGAATCGTGTTTTGATGACCTTTCTTCGGGCGAGGAAGTTTTTGGTGAAAGAATGATTCGAATGCCAGCGCCATGTGACAGATGCTCACGGCTAATATGCAAAGATGAGTGAGATGTTTTGTTGTTTATTGCTTTTATTTTTGGATAGAAAGTGTTGGACCAGAAATTTAAGCTCGATTATCCCTGAAGAATGCGTACAGCTAGTATTATGAGGTCTTTTTCTTTCTTGAATGGTGCTGTCAGTCTTTTATGATACATTCATCTGGCGTATTCGCCATTTTGAGCAATTTTTGGCAGATCTCGGTTAAAGAGTCCATAAAAAATGGCATTTTTTGGTAAGAATAAGAAATTCTCAGAACTCAGTTATCAATTTTTGCAACTTGAGAATACTTTTTGAAATAGTGTATTGTGCTTTGAGCACCATTCCAATCATTTTGAGAAAAATTACATCAAAGTCAAAATTACTGTCCTTAATTAGCATAATTGCATATATTTCATCACATTAAATTGTTGCCATGGACACGAATGAATTATATTCTTCTGTTTATATTTAACAATTATTCGCCTCAGGTTCGGTGAATATTGTCGAATAATCCCCGAGACAAAGTCGAGGGGATTATTCGACAATATTCACCGAACCTGAGGCGAATAATTGTTTTAGTATAATTTCAGAGCTGAACAACAGAGAAATTTCTAAAATCACAACATTTTAGTAACATTTATGAACATTTTATTTTAACATTTCATATAAACGGTGTGGAGTGGTTTATGTAGCGGCATATAAGGAACCGCTCGACCAATCAGATTGCTGGAAACTCTTTGCTCAGCTCTGAAATTATACTAAAACCATATATAACATGCTTACCTTTCTGCAACATGGGCTTTTGAAATAAAATATATATCTAACACCCACCATTAGCTAATTTTTCTCTCCAAAAATTCAGTCTGGATAGGGTTAATGATATAATTGTGAATGTTATAATGAAAGCACTTCATAGTGATGAATAAAATTCATGTTTCTTACATGTGGGACACCAGCTTAATCACCTCTGAAGGGAATGCAAGGGAAAGTGTGGAACACCAAACAACTGTTTGAAGCTACAATAAAAACATTTTTGTGATTCCACAAAGTGCCTAGCTACGCTCCAGGTGAACTGTGCACTTTGTGTTGCATCATGGTCATATAACAGAGAAACGAGTTATTTGCATCCAATCACGGTCAAGTGAACATGTTTGGTGGCAGCAAGATAGGGTGGGATGTAATTTGCCCTTCCTTTGAAAGTTAAAAATTTTTGATGGGCCTGTGCAACTCCGGTCATTTTTCCATGACGAATTTGAACTTATGAGGCAACCAATGTCATTCACTAAGAAGCGAAACTGCTGTCTGGCCTAAGAATCTTGACACGAATAGTAACCATTACACTCACAGCTAATGGCAGATGAATGTTATCAAAGTAAGAAATTACTTCCCCAGAGGCAAGTCATCTAATTAGGAATCAACCCTTGACATACAAACACATTACAAATAGACAGACTTTTTAATACATATACACAAACTTTTTTCCACTGCGTGGAAGTATAGGATTTGTAAATGGAGAAACCCCCCGCCTCTTATCAATTTTTTTTATTTCAATCAATTTATTTAAACCCTCACAAATACAGTGTACTTGAGAAGATTATAATTATTACAGTAGTGTTACAAATATCAATATAAGGAATACAGTATAATAAGAGAATGGAAAAAAGAAACTAAAAATAATTTACAATTCATTGTTACTAAGGATATTTAAGAATTGAAGAAGGAGAGGAAGAAAAGAATATTTAAATACATATGTTAGCTGTGTGGAGTTTGGGGCACCGAAATAGTTCCAAGAACTAATGGGAGTGGGTGTCCCAGAACAAAAAATTAAAACCAAGGGAATACAGTATTAATAACAATTTTGGTAAAAAAGTATTACTTTCATACTAATTATTAAGAATAAAAGATATTTACACAAACTATTTAACACTATTATAACCATCAATCATATAATTCTTTATACTTTGATGAAATCTAAAAGAGGGAGTGATTTGTTTAACATTAATCAATCATTAGGCCAGTTCTAGAACATTGTTCTAGAATATTGTGCCTCACTGTACCATCACGCACTACCTGACTACTTAAGTAAGGATATTGAAAGCATACAAAAACGTCCTCTATCAATTATTTAGCCAGGCCTTTCTTACGATGACAGCCTGTCAATATACAACATGGCATCTTTAGAGGAGAGACGCATACATCAAAGTGAAAAATTGTTTGATTCTATTGTATCTAATCCAGATTATAAGTTGCACCATTTTCTCCCTCCCAAGAACTATTGTCATTATAACTTTAGAAGACAATGCCCCTTTGCCAATCCTGTCATGCGTACCAAGCGTTTTTCTAGCACATTTCTGCCATCTATGTGTAGGTGTTAGCAGTTTTCGTAGTATGAATTTTTATGAATTTTTATAAATTAGTATTCTAAGCTTAATTTTGTAGGTTTTAGTATTTTTTCATATGATAAGCTTTGTATTAATGAAATTTGTAAATTCATGCAATTCAGCCTTAGATGGCTGCCATATGGATTCAATTAAAGCTCTACGTACGTACTTACTTACCTAATTGGTAATAAATTCCAGAGTGTGGTACAAGTGTAACAAAGGGAATGAATACCATCATGAGTTGTTCGAACTGGGTTTACAAACAGATTCTCATTCAGTGATTGAAGTGTACAATGTGAATGAACAGAAGATATTGGCTTAAAGTAAATAGTAAAACAGGAAGGAGTTATTCTATGGGGCCACTGATAACAAAAGAAAGAATGTCTAGATGAATTATATCAGAGAATTTTAAGAGGTTGAAAGGTTTCAGCAGTGGTTGTGAATGTGATGCTTGTTCAGAAAATGTCATATTTCTGAGTAGACGCATTTGCAAAGTAATCACTGGCGTTAAGTAAGTGGGATATGTTAAACCCTAAACTAAGGTACCATAAGTGAGAAAGGGGTGGATAAGTGAATACTAAAGCATATGAAGCATAACAATGCCAACATAGTAACTCAATTGTGAGAAGATTCCAACAGTTTTTGACAGTTTTAGGCAGAGCTCATCAAGGTGATTTTTGCATGGCAGATTTGAGTCAAACATAACACCTAGACATTTTACTGTGGATACTTCTTGGATATTTGCACCATCAATCATTAGATTAAATGACTTGTGTGGTTTTAATTTTTTAGAATGAAAGAGAACAAATTTTTTTTTGAGAATACTAAGTGCTAGTCTGTTGGATTTCATCCACTCTGCAACTGATTTTAGCTCATGCTTTAACTTAAGTTCAAGATTGTTAAGGTTCTTACAAGAGCAGTAAATGTTAGTGTCGTCAGCAAATAAGTGAAAGGTGGGCAATTTAAGGCACTAGGTAAGTCATTGATATATAATAAAAACATCAAAGGACCAAGAACAGATCCTCGAGGAACCCCACAAGTGACTGATAGGGAATCGGTCATGACCATCAACACACACAAATTGTTCTCTGTTGGATAGATAAGACGGAAACCAATCATAGACTTTGCCGTACTCCATAATGATGCAATTTCAACAAAAGAATAGAATGATAAACTGTATGTATCAAAGGCTTTTTTTAAATCAATGAAATTACCACAGCCAAACTCATTGTTGTCAATTGAGTAACAAATAGATTCAGTGATACTTATAAGTGCGTGATTAGTTGAACACTTTTGTCTAAAGCCAAACTGAAGTGAGTAGAGAATGTTATGACATTCAAGATAACCATAGAGTTGCTTATACATAGCTTTTTCACATATTTTGCTAACAGATAGCACTGATATTGGCCTATAATTATATTTGTCATATCTAAAGCCTTTCTTGAAAACTGGAGTAAGTCTTACCAATTTAAGTTTATTTGAAGAATGCCACAGGGAAAATAATCATTAATTAGGGATGAAAGAAGTGGAGAAATATGGTTTTCAAGAATTTTTAGCAATCTGACGGGAATACTGCAAGGGCCAACAGATTTGTTAATGTCCATTTGAGATATGTAGGACTCAACTTCAAATGAGGTGATGGGGGACAGGAACATTGATTCAGGAAAATTGCCATTTAGGAAAGAGGTAGAACAGCAACTCCCCTGTGGAATATCTTTATCAGTGTTTCTACCCACATCAACAAAAAAAATTGTTAAAGATGTTAGCAATAGCACAGGATTGTCAATAGATTTGCCACTTTCCGTTAAAAGGGTAGGAATATAGTCGGCTTTAACTTCACCAATGTTTGTGATTGATCTAATTCCTGACCATATTTTTTTAATACTATTCCCACCGCACAGAAAGTAATTCTTTAAGTAATTAGACTTGCTGGTTTTGATATCTTTAACAACACTATTCCTGAATTTCTTGTGAAGAGATATTAGAACGAATTTGTCCTGTGCACACAGATGAAAATATTGCCTTTCGTAATGAATATTAATCTCTATTTAAATGAATCTAGACACCGATAACGGAAAGGTCTGGACAGGGTACAGGCAGTTTACATATTAATATTAGTCCTTACCTTAACATTAAGCAATTTTTTCAGCATGCAATTCTTAAGACTACATAGATAAACACCATGTAACGCCCTAAACACAACAATGGGCCTTTTCGCTTTTATAACCAATCTCGAAGACTATCACTTAAAATGCATAAAACACGTGTACTGTTTGAGAGCATTTGGTCAGAGCTGTGGAAAACAGTAAGAAACCAATACAGGCACAGTATTGAAACTTCATAAAAATAAATAAAGGCCTTTTACATGGTCGTCTTCCAAGTTATGAATAAAGAAATTTTTAAATGACTAGAAATCGCTCATTTAGGCCAAGAATAACAGTTCTTTGAGATCTTACGTCCCTCTCACCTCAGTGGGTGTGGAGAAAACGTGGGGTAGGCTATGGCTTACCCAGTGGCCTACCCAGTGGCCTACTTTATGGCCTACCCTATGGCCTACCGGTGGTCAGATTTTTAAAAACAAAAATAAAACTAACGAGTACGCTGGTGCAAGGGAACACGGCAAAATGTTATTTTTTTACCTGGTTTTATTCGTTGTTTATTCGCCAGTTTGAATTTCCGCCATTTTGTTTTTGAGTATTGTTTACCGCTGACGCTTTATATCGCAGGCGAGCGCCGAAGGCGTGAGAGTTTTCCGGACGAGCCCCGGAGTGGCGAGAAATAACGGAGAGTGAAACATGTGGGGGCGTGACCCTTTTCAACCAATCAAAAATTAGTAAAGCCATAACAAGGGGGCGTGTACTTCTCATGATGCTCGTTGTACTTGCAATGGCAACAAAATACGTCATTTGGTGGAAAATTTTGCGCCAAACTAAGCTCGCACAGAATTTTGGTCGAAGGCGCGAAGAGTTAGAAATATAAACAAACATAAGAATTTATGGCGATTTTTCAGTGAAAATCAGCGGAAAGTGGAAAGAATTATTGAGGAGAGTTATAGTGTTTTTGTATCTGGAAAAGCCAGCTGTGGAAAATCTTTCTTCCTGCGATATATTATAGAGAAAATTCGACGGAAAGGACTACATTGTTTTGAAACAGCACCAACTGGCATCGCTTCACAGAACATCGGTGGTATAACCATCCATTCATTCGCTGGTACTGGGTCAAAAAGTATTCATGAACTAATTTGTGCTATTAAAGCTAACGCAGAAGCAGAGAGGAGATGGAATAGTTGCGATGTTCTTGTTATCGATGAAGTGTCGATGCTGAGCCGCGAACTGTTTGAAGCTATCGCTCGAGCCATCCGTCGAAGCTCGCAACCCTTTGGCTCGATACAGCTGATTTCCAGAAATTCTCTTCATCTTTTTCACGACAGAAGGCATGGCCCTTAAAAGTAGTCTTCCAAATGTTGCTCTGTTTTGAATAGGCTGGCCATTTTTCTTACATTCAAGTTAAAATTTGCCGTATATATTGTCAACGGTAACAGTGGGACCCGACTTTTCACAAAAGTTTTCTAATATTCTGCACGGCTGGCTCAAGCTCTGTCACAGGCTCTTTCACAGTGAATAATTATAGAGTTTGTATAGTGGTTTAGTTGGACTTGCTTTTGAGCTCCGTAAATGTAAAGTTGTGTGAAGTAATCAAAGAAATAAAGTCTTGAGTCTTATGGAAATTGGTTGCCTCTGACTGTAGTTATTTCTGAAAACAGACGTTTCGGCTAATGCTTAAGCCTTCATCAGTGATATGAAAAACGAAGATCGTTATCCTACGCTATTTAAAGTTAAAAACGTGACGCGAAGCTTCCGCGCGTAACTATGTATTTGATGCTCGCGCGAGGTCTTCTGGAAGTACGATGTGATCGTTCCGAGCATTCAGATCCAAAGTATAGTGCCAGGCTTCAAGGAAAAGTCTCTCGTGGTAATTAGTTTCGAAACCAACGACCCTGACGTCTGTAAAATCCAGGCTATGGTCGAGAAGGTGGACATGGCTTGCGACTTTGGAGTTTAAGTCAAAACCTGCAACTGCCTTTTTGTGCTCTGCAATTCTGGTCTTTAAAGATCTTTCTGTTTGGCTATAGTACTTAAAAATTACACTGTGTGCAATTGATTTTGTACACCATGCCTGACTTCTGGCGGTCAGGTTTGTCTTGCTCCTTTGGGCGTGGAAAAAGGCTGTTGATTGTCACACATACTAAGGTACCCTGGGTAAACTCATCGACTTGACTAGATCGTCGATACTGTCCATCTTCACTGTTTTCAATGGATTTTTACAAATATCCTCTTACCCGGGGTATCTTAGTATGTGTGAAGGGCTGGTGTTAGAAGACTATGGGGAGAACCAGGTGAGAGAGATTTGACTAGGGTCCAGGTTGACCGCGTATTAACGGTCTCTCAGCTGCACAAGATGTTCCTTCCACGCATTAGAAGAATTCAGAATTTGAGCGCCTGGGATGCGTAGCAAGATTCTCATGTGCCAGCCAGAAACAGTCACGCTGATTACCCTTTTCTGATTGGACGAAGTTATTTTGAATTGGACGACGTTATTTTGAAGTGGTCAATCAGACGTGACGGTTTCTTGCTGGCACATGAGAATTTTGCTACGAATCCCAGGCGCTCAAAAACTAGTAATAGTAATCAAAGTTTAATGTCTTTACGTGGGGCATGGTTACCCATATTGCCCGAGCCAGAGGCTCATGTATGAAACGCAAGACAACAACCCACCTATCCCACGCCAGGGGAGGACATCCATCGTGCGTGTGAAATTGACGTCTCCTACCCCTAACCCTGAGGGAGACGGGACCTCCATTTATTCGTCCCTATTCGAGAAGACTAGAATATCTAAACCATTTCTTGATGTTATAGAAAGGCAGCATATTCTTCTCAAGTATTTTAAGACATTGAGTGTTGGTCTGGCCAGGGCTTGAACCCTCGACCTCCCGCCCAACAGTCCAGCGCTCTATCCATTGAGCTAACTGGGAGGTGGTCAATGCATGTAATCAGCAAAGTACTGTAATGATGTAAATGAATTAGCATCATCATCACTATCAATTTGTATACCTTTGTAAAATATTTCCCTTGTTGTTCAATGTAGGTTCAGTCACTTGACTTAAGTAACAATCGCCTAAAGAGCTTGGATGGTTTTAAGGACCTTGCAAAGGAAACATCAAACTTAAAGCATATCAAGATCTCCAATAATCAAGTCAGTAGTATTATTTCCAAGGAGTTTGTAACTATTGCATATTCATTGTGTTTGGGTGATCTTGGGGACATGTAGATAATGTGCTTTCTTTGTTCTTCCCAGTTCAGCAAAAGAACTTTGCAGAAAGTCACAGAAACTCTGGCTCAATTAAGTCTTTGGTTAGAATTTGTTNCTAATTTATTCGTGTTTTTCTCGTCACCATGTTCCTACCAATAGCGTAGCTCCACTTTCTGCACAGAAACGCAGATACAATCCACAATTCCTCCCTTCGCTCTGACGAAGGGCTAATGCTCGAAACGTCAGCTTTTTTTACTCTTTACGGTTGCCAATTTACAATTTTAACTTAGTTGATATAACCAAATTACTCACTTTATGTTTGTTTCATCGTAGATGTTACAGTCAAAAGACTGGGAAGTGTTGCGTGTGTGATGATGTCGCTGACAAAGGATGTTATTGCAAACGGTACGTATTTCAGATTGTTACCTTAGGGCCGGGGGTACATTGTTCGCGAGATTGTTCTTTAATTAATTTATTGTGCAGCCATTCACACGAGAAGTTGCTACTTTGAAAACGATACTGACAAATGACATTTTTTATCGCTCTTCTGTAAAACTTGTGCTTAGCGGTCAACCGGTCGCCCCGCCCCTCAACACAGGTTTGACAATGACATGATTATTTCCTTAGATACAGAGGTAAACTTACCTCTTTGATATTTGTACAATTTAGATGCTATGGGATAAGTACCGGGATTTGCTCTGAGTGTATTGGCATGGTTACCCGTATTGCCCGAGCCCGAGGCTCATGTATGAAACGCAAGACAACAACCGACCCATCCCACCCCAAGGGAGGACATCGATCACAAAGTAATTTTGTGCGTGGGAAATTAACGTCTCCTACCCCTAACCCTGAAGGAGACGGGACCTCCATTTATTCGTCCCTATCCTAGAAGACTAGAATATCTAAACCATTTCTTGATGTTATAGAAAGGCAGCATATTCTTCTCAATTATTTTAAGACCTTAAGTGTTGGTCCGGCCGGGGCTCGAACCCGCGACCTCCCGCACATCAGTCCAGCGCTCTATGCATTGAGCTAACCGGGAAGCGGTTACTGTGGGATTTTGATTTTCTTCGAGGGCTAACTCTGGTCGGTTTGGATGGATTTTCGATTGGAAGCTACAAGGAGAATCGTACATCTTTTGACCTTAATGCTGCGAAGTTTGAAAGCGGAGCGATGCGATTTTCGGGGGGAAAATCGCTCGGGCGCTTGAACCCTTTCAAAACAAAGCTTCCACCCTTGTCTTTCTTTTATGCATTACATTAACTACGAACTCAGACTTATTCAAAATCACTCAAAAAAAAAACATTTTTGAGGCAAAAGGACAACTATACACCACAAGTAAAGTAATTCAACGTTTGTTTATCAATGATTTATGTACATAGTCAGCAATATATCACTATAAGTGAGGCAAACGGTAAATCTGGTACATTCACTATAAAACAACAGTCGGCTACACACAGATTGCAATTGTATGGGCCCCTATGTTTACAACACGCTTCTAACGGCTGAATGTCAACGGTTTCACTCCCCCTTATTTCTCGCCACTCCGGGGCTCATCCGGAAAACCCTCGCGCCTTCGGCGCTCGCCTGCGATGCAAAGCGTCAGCGATAAACAATACTCAAAAACAAAATGGCGGAAATTCAAACTGGCGAATAAAAAACCAATAAAACCAGGTAAAAAAATAACATTTTGCCGTGTTCCCTTGGTTAAGGGGGAGGGGAGAGGAGGGGCCAATATTGCGTGGTCGCTGAGGATATCCAAAATGGCGGCTTCACCATCCAGCTGGTAACTTACAGTGGAGTCCTAGTGCAAAAATGTAAAGAACGGCGTAATATCGGACAACATATGCAAGTAGAAAAACGCAAAGAGTACGTGTCAGGCCAATTTTTTAAGTGCCTCTTTTGTGCTGTGGTATTGAATTTGCAACAATTAAGCACCCCGACACACGCAGGCATCGCCGTCATAAACATTTCGCAAACTTTACTTGCTTTTCCTAAGTGAGGGCCAGTATTGCACTCGTTTGAAAGGAGAGCTGATATGAGGATGTTTACCCGAAAGTTGCGTTTAACCGGCTTCTGTTCCTCGATTTCCTTGTTCTATCAGAAAGTTAAGAAATTTTGATCGGAATGTGGCCGCTAAAAGAGCACAAGAAAGTCGTTGGTAAGACAGTCCCCAGGTAAACGTTGAAAGGTTTGCAGGAATGCTATGCTTTTAAAAATCTGACCACCAGTAAGCTATAGGGTAGGCCATAAGGTAGGCCACAGGGTAGGCCATGGCCTTGAGGATGGCCTACGCCACCTTTTGTGCAAACCCCACCTCAGTTCATTCGAAGGTGTGTAACGTGACATCCCAAAGGACGGCTGTGTAAAATACTAGGATACCAAGAGGATTTAATAAAAGATTGTGTTTTAACAGTCACCTCTTACTTTAGGTAATTATGTTTTAAATTACACTGGTATAAATAAACCTTGCCCTTTCATTCACAACACCGGGAAATTATCGGGACCCAAACGATCCATTAAGATAACTGATCACTTCACGTGCACCTCCGCCAACGTCATCTGTATCATAACTTGCACTTATTGCAAAAAGATATACATCGGCGAAACAGGAAGACGACTAGGTGACCGATTCCGAGAACACCTCAGCGACGTAGAAAGGAATGACAAGGACGCATCAAAACCAGTCGCTAGACACTTCTAGGCATCACATGGCAATCTGCGGTCTTACCTTACATTTAGGTAACTCGGAAAGCCGCAAAACTCTTGAACAAACATTTATCTTTCAAATCAGCACTCATAACCTCATCGGTATCAACGCGGAACGCTTTTCATTCTACTAATTTATTCGTGTTTTTCTCGTCACCATGTTCCTACCAATAGCGTAGCTCCACTTTCTGCACAGAAACGCAGATACAATCCACAATTCCTCCCTTCGCTCTGACGAAGGGCTAATGCTCGAAACGTCAGCTTTTTTTTACTCTTTACGGTTGCCAATTTACAATTTTAACTTAGTTGATATAACCAAATTACTCACTTTATGTTTGTTTCATCGTAGATGTTACAGTCAAAGGACTGGGAAGTGTTGCGTGTGTGCTGATGTCGCTTGCAAAGGATTTTATTGCAAACGGTACGTATTTCAGATTGTTACCTTAGGACCGGGGGTACATTGCTCGCGAGATTGTTCTTTAATTAATTTATAGTGCAGCCATTCACCCGAGAAGTTGCGACTTTGAAAACGATACTGACAAATGACGTTTTTTATCGCTCTTCTGTAAAACTTGTGCTTAGCGGTCAACCGGTCGCCCCGCCCCTCAACACAGGTTTGACAATGACATGATTATTTCCTTAGATACAGAGGTAAACTTACCTCTTTGATATTTGTACAATTTAGATGCTATGTCATAAGTACCGGGATTTGCTCTGAGTGTAATGCTGAAGCTGGGAATGGATTTTGCAAAAGGTATGTAGTTAGTTTTTTCAGTCAACTGTGAGCAATAATTAATTCCAGGTGTTACAAACGAGGGTCTACCGCCTGAGTTCCCCAGAAAAGCCAATCCGTAATCTTTGATACTGAATGCCATCTTTGACGATTAGAAATAAATCTTTCAGACTTCGATACGAAGCATACCGTTCCATAAAAGAATATTAACAAAGGAACTTAGAACACTTTAAATCTCTATTAATTTATTTTATCAACTATAAAGAAAGGTCATATTTTTTCCTGCCATTTTGGGGTCGTTCGGAAGGGGACACTTGTTGCAAGAGTTACTGCTGACAATTACTTAACCGAATTAAACTGGGTTTGTAGTTAATCAGTACCTCCGTTGATATTTGTTTCATTTTAGATGCTACAGCAGTAGGACCGGAAAGTGCTGCCAATGCGATAGAATAACTGAGCAGGGAATGTATTGCAATGAGTAAGTGGTCAGCTGTTGTAGTTTATTAGTTTAGACACTGGATGAGAACGTTTGTCACCAGCAGTGATAGACCGTTTTACGAGTCAAGTTCAAGCACGAGCTAAGTTCGAGTCACAAGCCAAGTTCAATTGCGCTTCGTTTTTTCTCCTTTTTTTGCTTGAAGTTTTTTTTCGTTGTCAAAATGTTGCGCCAAGGGTACAGGAACACCTAGTTTTAAGGTTAAGACTTTTAATTTTTCTACAGCTGTTCATGTATCGGTTCACACCTGCGATCAAAGAAGTAAACATTCTTACGCATCTACGAGTTGTTCTCACAGATTTCGCGGACCTCGTTATTACACATGTGTTGTGGCAGAAGTTCCATTTCAACGACAAAGTGTCGAAACTGACTCGGAATACTAGTAATAATAGACCAAAAGAAAGGACTGCTCGTAGTCTATAGTATAAAGAGAATCTCAGCATCTTGTCCTACTTTTCTGGTTTTTCTCGTAATATACAGGGTACACTTTTCAAGATTTTCGAGGCATCTCAAATTTGTCGAGACATCGTCACATAATGTGTGAAATATATAAAGCATTCTATATTCTGTGTCGTATTGATGAAAAAGACGTTGAAAATTGACGAGCACATTTCTGAGTTATTTTTTCTACATAAAAAATAACTCTATGTTAGTGTATCATGTGGTAAGATGCTTGCACCAATCAGATCGCCTCATTAGGATATATAGATATGTATCTTGCACCAATCAGGTCACTGCATCAGGGTATGTACCTCGCACCAATCAGATCACTGCATTAGGGTATAGCTGCATTAATAGCGAAGGAATTCACCCAACAGTGACGCACACCGAGAGTGACATATTAGTGGAGAACTGTGAGCTCATCTACCCAGTGTAATGGTACATGTCATTCGTGAAGACTTCGTCGCTATGAACTGTCGGGGTTAGAAACGGCGTCAGGGAATATTTCTTCCATTAAGAAGTTAAAAAGTGTTTTGTGTGTCGCTCCTTCAATTACAACGCACACGCCGTCAGCTAAAGGCCCAACACGAAATTATCACTAGAGCGTTTGTTTTGGAAGGGCTAGGTTTTCTGACACAGTTAAAATTTGCGCAAAGCTTATGCATAAGGGATCATCGCTAGATAATCTTGTTTTTGCCTTGTGGTTGCTCTTTGGCGAAGGTTGAAAGTCATATTTACTGTCTACTTCAACTGCCATGTTAAATATCCGTTTTTTTTTTCTTTAAAAAGATCTCCATGAATAACATCTTGTGTTTAAACAATATTACGTGTTTAGTTGTCACCACTCTTTCCTAGATGAGTGTCATTTTCCAGTAAACAACCTAAATCAGTTTACGACATCATCCTACCCCACTATAAACATCTCACTTGGATGTAAAGGCTATTGTTGACCCCCATTGTTAGTTAATATTCCACGCAATTCTCACTGAGACGTTTTCTACCAATCAAATTAACTTTTAACCTTAGACTTCACCCCATCACGAGTCAATTTCCTATAAATAACCAGCATTTTATCATGTATTCCGCACGCGCGGGGCAAAGTTCAGATAGGCAACAACCAAATAAGCAGCCCACGTTATTTTGCCCATACGAAGGTATTTGAAATATGATATTTTCTTTTCGTTAAATGTAATTTCACTTGTTCCAAGAACGGAGACCACAAATAGCTTCGGTCAGAGGCTTTTGGATATAAGATAGTGTTACTTTGCCTTTTACAGCAATATTATGTGGAAGAATATATTTGAGGCAATTGACTGTAACTGAATAACTATGATTTGTCTCTGACGATGGAGCGGCAGTGAGCATAGTTTGTGAGGGTGACTTCAGGAAGCGTGGCCCTAATGCTGTTTCTTTTGCTAACAATTTTTCAGATATCAGTGGCAATACCATCAGTAAAATACGTGTTTCTGAGTTTATTTCAGATAAATTAGAGGGTTTTTTGCGCACGACTAAACGAAATTTTTATTGGAATCTTTTGAAAGTAATTGTTATTTTTCTTTAAAAATGCAAACATCAGTTCCTTAGAGTCCAATTTCAAACCACTCATCCAAAAAAACAAACTTGCTTGTGTAGCATGCCTTTATTTTTTTTCCACTTAAAAGCTACAATAATAGATAAAAAAAATTAAGTTGGCTCGAACTTGACTCGTGACTCAAACATGACTTAAGCTCAAACTTGACTCGTGTGACGGCGGTACAACTCTCACTTACACGGGAAAAATATATGATTTGCGCAGCCTCCCGAGAGGATTCGAGCCCCGACAAAGTTCGATTCTCTTGGGGAATCATATCTCTCGTTTAGTTAGTGCGCTATATTCACTGTCAGTCCGCTGAATTCAAAAGTTTGTTTGATTACAAATAGTCCCTTTCGATTTGAAAAAATATCTTACCAACCTCCTTTTCTTGGTCCGTACCGCAAGTTAAGGAACGTATTTTTTTTCGGCTGGGGTCACAAACCGTGCAGAAGAAAGTCGGTCCGTAAGTTACAATGCGGCTCTCGAACTCAGTAAGAGGTATGTAATGAGGAAAAGCTCACAAATAGATCGAAAAAAAACCTGAACACACTATAAGAAGAGGCTAATCGACTAAGATTTGAATACACGTCAATAGATCGAAACCACATAATTAGATATTAACGCACACTGAGTTTAGGCGGTGTGTAAAGGCAAAAAACTGAATAACCGCAACAGAAAAGACTAATCTTGGGGATAAGCCTCAACAGATGCCCTGCCAACTGGGCCACTGAGAGAACTAGTCGGCGAGTTAGGCCATACAATAAATTCATATGTGACAAGCGTTCTACATACTGCTAGGGACAGCAATGTAGGAGGGTCTTGTTTAAATTGTATTTTTTAGACTGCAACCAGCATTATTTTTCTAAATCATCAAACCGCTAGCCCCTAAGATTGGTCAATCTTATGACGTAGAGTGTGCTTACTTAAACCCAAGTGACGGGAGTCTCTTTATAGGGTGTATAAAGGCCTCTGATGGAGTATCGAAAACTCCGTCAGACTACAATTCACAGTATAGAAAAAAAAACTGCTAAAATGAAATTGAAGCAACTCCAGATCATCCTTAGCAATCACTGGCCTTGATCTCTGTTATGTAATTTAACATTTATCGAAATGTCTACGTGAGTTTCTGACGTAAACTGAGATGCGATGAATTGCGACGTTGTAACTGAATAGAAAAGAAAACCTAGGTCATTCGTTTTCTCACCCACTCCAGCCCTTGTTCATTTCTTTACTTTGAGTTCCAATAGCTCCTTGTGAAATTCATTTTTGTGCTGATGAAGTTTGAGATACCTTTTTGGTTTCAGCATTTTAATCAAAGCTAAGTCATTCGCTCTTTTAAAAGTTATCTTATATCTCACTGTTTCTTAAATGGCTCTGAATATACTTGTAGATGCTATGACTCAAACTGGCCGCCACCCCTCCGAATTGAAGTATCCTCTGGAGGAGAGCATTTCAAGTTTTATGGCAGGGAGAGAGACTTGCAGAAATACATCAATGTTGCAAATCATGGTCAGCGCCGAGAATTAGATTTTAAAGACATTTCCGACTAACATTTTTCCTCTAACATATCAATTATGTTTCGTTATCATTGAGATTCTTTGAAGACATGACCAGTAGCTAATCTTAAGTGTTTGGTTTAGTTTCTCTATATCTTTGATCTAAAGCATTAAGTCAATAAGAAATTGAAATAAATTTGTGCTCTAAGGGATGCTAGTTAATCAGGGGGATCACGCACAAGAGTGAAGAAGCGGTTTTTTCATTTTGTTTTTCAGTTGTACTAATGTAACAGTAAAGAAATAAAGATCTTTTGTGTGCCAGTTATTTAATCTCACAAGTTATGAATTCATCGGTCTTCACCTTAGTGTTATAGAAGTATCCCTTTTCCCTCTCACAGCTTGAAACATGTTGCAAACAATCGTGCAAAAAATAATTAAAGGGGAGATAAATCATCGAAAGAAAAAAAAAAGTTAGCGCTATAGCGTTCAAGTTTCGGTTGTTTTGTTTCCTCTTCGCTAATCTGACGAACAAGATTATACTGAGAGATAGAATTATATGAGGAACTGATTTGGAAAGAGTGAAATTTTTCCTCTTTGAATTAAATTATCCTTTTGTTCCTTTCTATATTTTACAAAATGTTGCAAAGAGGAATAGGGAAGTCGTACGGGTGAGTGGTGTCCACCATTCCTGATTTTAGGGAAGCGAAAATACTTCTTGTCCTTAATATTTCATCATAATTATTACCACTACCCGTGGTCAAATGACAAACTGCCCTCTCTAAGACGCTTCTTTTCGCGAGCCAAACGGTAAAGTGCGGGCTGTAAATGGCATTTGCCGCCCACTCAAACTTGAACCCACAGACTCACCTCCAAACAGAGATTTCTACGGGGGAATACACGAGGTACAAGTTTCTCTAATCGTTACTTAATTTCGATTGATGTAAGCTGACTTTGAAATTGTACAAATAACTTGTTTTCATGGACTTGACAGAACTGATTTCAAGTTCTTTTGTTTCTGAGAGAATCGACTTTTTTACGACGGATATCTATAAGGATGATTTTAGGCCCAGTTTAAACTAGAGGCAGCCTTGCAATGTAATAATCTCTATCTTAAATCATGAAAGAAACGCCGAAGCAGTAAAATAGCAAGGGAGTAATCAGTGTATTCTCTTTGTATTATTAAGTCAACAGAAACTTTAAAAAAACCTGTCAATTTCCCTAGACAGTACAGGAAATGCAGTAATGTTCAAGTTTTGCCTGATTTTCTTCCATATGGTTTCCTTGAAAATTTGTGCTTCTGTTGTTTTATGAGGAGATAAATAAAACAAAGGACTATCAACAAAAGCTCAGCTCGTGAAAAGGTAAGACAAATTTATTTACCAAAAATGTTTGCCGCGAGGGTTATACAGAATTAAGATTTTGATTCTTGCATTTCAGGGTGGAGGAATATGTAAGCAGAAGTTGGATCAAAATATTGTCGATCCAGAACCCGAAATGATTTTCATTGTTTGCTATGTCCTGAAGATAAGTTTGGTCTTGTTGAAATAAAATGTCCAAGCTCAAAATTTGGTGTTTCTCTAGCAGAAGCGTGTAGTGACTCTCACTTTTATCTAGAAATTAAGGATGGGATACCCAGACTAAAAAAGGACCATATTTACTATGATCACGTCGAGGGTCAAGTGGCCTTCACTGGTGCCAAGTGGTGTGACTTTGTCACATATACAAGCAGCGAGTTCAGCATTGAAAGGATTCACTCTGATGAGATGCACTGGAAGAAACTGCGAGCAATTCTGCAACACACCTTATCATAACTTTTTGCCAGCTGGAGCAAAAAATATATGGTGTGCAACAACAAGTTCCATGACCTAGAATTACATTGAACTGAACCGGCATGTCCTACAGGTTCAACTCTGAATCTTAACTCTGACTATTTAAGACAGCCCAAGCTTCTACTTAACTTAATTAATTTTCATGAGAATTCATTATGATGGAATGGGTCTTCGTAAATTACAAAGTACAACACATACAGTCCATATTTGGTTTACGACACCAGATAAGCTCACTGGGACAATTCCTTCCCAGACATGAAAGCTGTTCTTATTTTTGTTAATAGCTCTTTCGACATGAATTCACTGTGAGGCAATTGATTTGTGGTTTTGACAACATCCTCTGGACTCATGTGTCCCTGAGAACCCAAAAAAGGAGGAATATTTGGAGGGAGCAGGTCCTGCACTGTAATTCCCTTATCTGATCCTACATGGGTTTAAATCATCGTGTATGTACAGGACCGTGCTGCGACGGTACTCGGTGGAGGATTGCTTATCATGAGCCCCGTCATTCAGGCCCTTTTAAATAACACCTCATAGAGAATGACCTTCATATTCATGGCAACAATCGTGTTTTTGACCGGAATTTTGTCGTGTTTCTTTGACCCAAACGTCGCCACAGCAAATGAACAAGAAGAGACTCAGAGAAATAGCGAGCAAGAGTTACAGAGAAGTTCTTCAGTTGTTTGGATGTTTCATATTTGAGAAATAAGGAGTACCTGGTGTACTTAGTGGCAACAAGTACCGTGTTCCTGTTCCTTGGTATTGCCATTCTAATAAAGTATACATGGTACTTTGTGAATCATAGTCGCCTAGATGTGAGCACCGAAAAAACTGTTTCTCTCTTAAGGACGAACAAACAGCCAATGACACATGACCAACTTTACCGCGGCCTGGCCTCAACAACCAGGCTTCACCTATCCTCCCAACCATATCACTCGAGAAGTGACACCCATGGATAAACACTTTTTGCCATGCTGATAAGGGAAATGGCCAGCCAGTAACGAAGCCTGTGTGTGGCAATTTACTTTTCCACTGTCATTTTTTCTTCTTCGACTAATAAGGAGATATTTTTGATTCGAAGCAAATTAAGAAATTCTATCTACATGTGTAGAATGGGTCCACTTTTCAGCAAGGAAAATTCTTCAGGATGTTTACGTAATCCTTCCTATATTATAAAACATGGTTTGCTCTCTTCTCTCTCTTACCCTCTTCCCATATAACCATCAATCACTGCATATATCAGTATCCTTTATCATTTCATTTCATTTCATTTCAGTTCATTTCCCGTTTCATGCCGCAGGGTCGTTACTGCCAAGAGCACGGAATTGATCAGAACAAAGTTGCGCAGTTGTTTTTCTTCAACGGACGAGCATCGACTACTTAGGGAGAAATGTTTCTATCTGGATCATGAGGTGCACAGTTCTCGTCTCCGGGGCTTGATATCAATGAATTTGTGGTCCACATATTATCTGCTTCTAACATGTTTTTTGTTTATGGGTTGATAGAAAGTGCTATTGCTTCGTCGATGAATGTTTTAGTTTTGTCCACATTATCCCCGAAACAAAAGTTCCGAGGAATTGTTTTTTTCCATTTGTGTGTAGCAGTTACACTGGTAACCTGTCCCCCTTTGAGAGGTAAATTGTACGTTAATACCTTTACGTAGTCTGGAAGGCAATGTTTTCAGGAAATATCAATAATATTGACTTTAAATATATAGCTGGCAGCGCCCGTGGGTGATATGAAGTGAATTCTGCGTTCTGATTGGCTACCCGAGCGGGCAAGATGGATCGCCCACTTTGATCCCGCGCAAGAAAAAAAGGGTCTGGAGCGGACTTACAAAGTTCGTGACTTTTGGACAATGTCGGAGATGACGTCGTAAAAAGCGGCAGAAGAAAGTCAAAACAAAGAAAACATAAACGACCCTCTTGGGCTTATGTGCCACAAACAAAGGTGGCTTACTTTCCCGGTTCTCGAAATAAACACGTCATTCTTGATTCTTAAACGAAATCTTTTTGCAATATGAAAATCATTTTATTGACCAAGCTTGTTTGGTCAAGATGGCTGGATATTAGCCTCATTCTTTGTTTTGCGGTCCATAATGACAAATTCTCATGCTGGGCTCATTTTGGGAAAACGCAGAGGTTACCTGAAAAACACAGCAGCGAATCGAATTTTTGACTTAAGTTGGATAGTCCGCCGCCTTTTAGCTAGGATAAACCGCAACAATGACCATTGTGTTATCTGTTTAGTTAAGACATACCTATAAAACAAGTTATGTTCGTCCTTCAAACCCATAAATTGCTTCATTGCTATTATAGCAATCGCATAACCCGTTTAAAAGCACCTCTCTTTATTTCAAGCTCTTACATTGCTAGATCAGGCCAGATAGACCTCATTTGAACGTATTGCAAAGTTGATAAATGTATGTCTCCTTTTCTTCCTCACTGCGCATGACTGAAGACGAGTCGGGTCCAGACCAGACAGTAATTCTATCACTGTTCAATGGTCCTTGGAACTATGGAAGTTATTGTGAAAAAGATACGTTTCTCATCCAAGATTTGCACAATTCAGACGTTGACCTCGAGCACGTGATTTTGACGTTCTATCCGGTAAGCAAACCGATAATATTTTTGCATGGATCACGCAATGGATCAAGAGTATTGTAGTAATGAGCCGAATGTGAAGAAATGGAAATTCTCTGATTCTGTCGACTCCGAGTCCGTCGAGCACGACTCTGATCCTTATTGGTGCCCTCACCAGTTGGAGATCGCTTATGTGACCCCGACCTCAACTCTATTGCCAATGGAAAGCCGCTTGAAGGTCACGAAAATAAAGGTTTGTTGAATTGCTTCGAAGGTTCCCCTAAAGAAAACATACAGCTGATATGATTTTGTTTAAAATGTACGTTGAATGGTTAGTTAGTTAGTAAGTTAGTCCTTTCCGTTCGTTAAGATAAACAAGTATATGTGTAATTGAGAGTTAACGGAGCACAATCTTCAAGACTTTGAGACGATTTCCGGCAATCAATCTGGGAGGCTTTTCATTTCACGTTCAGTTGCAGCTCCTGCACAAAATCTACAATTCATGCAGAGAAGCAAAAAAGTATCGATACAAGTACTGAATAGCTTAATTACATAACAAGAAACTACTGGTAATTTTTCAATAGAGCAAGTATTTTTAGAGTTTATACATTTCAATCATATTTTTCGCAATGTAACCCTGATTTCGCCGACAGATGATCATCGCTTCGCCGATCTCTAAAACAAATAAAATTCCTCTGTAGCTCTTTTCGGCCCCTGGTAACAAAAAGTGAGTTCTTGAAAAGTTTTCATATGCAGACAAGCGGTGAAGAGCATTGCAATGCTTTTGTTGTCACGTTCGACCAAGACCAATTTGGTGAACCGGTTGCACATCTGCTTAATTTGTTGGGGTTGCTCGAGTTGTCTGAGTTTTCGAGATCTCGGTATTCGTAATAGCCCATGACGTGATAAGATCCCTTTAAAATTTTAATTTTTTCTTTTCGCGGACACAGTAGATGTATAAACATCACGCTTAAGAGGTAAAGTATTTTGAAGCTGGTCTGTGCTTTAAATAATCTAATTCACTCCCCCCCCC